AATAATAATAATAATAATAATAATAATAATAATAATAATAATAATAATAATAATAATAATAATAATACAAAATCCCACCCTGGAAGAACACAAAGGCAAACAACTTCCACACGGTTGCCAAGAAAGCTACAAGGACATTTCCATGAAGTCACCAGGAGTCAAGCTTGACTCAAAGGAAACTTAACTTTATTAATATAGTCCTATTTTCTGAGTTTTGTGTGTGCCTATGGGCAGGTAGTTCATCCTGATGGTTGAAAGGGGTGAGAGGTCCAGTCTGCTGAAGCTTCTAGATCATTATTGCATGATAATTCATAGACTGTAAATTAGCAAGAGCTGTTTATGAATAGTATGACAACTAAATGAATGGAAAGTAGGTTATGGCAAATCCATATTTTCTATTTATGATAATAGCCACAATAAAAATAAGACATTATTTTCATGAATCTCAAAATTTATATTAAAATGGATTATCCTCTTGACTGGGACAATGTAACTAATTATGAAATTTACTAGAAAGCTCATCAATAACAGTAGGCGGGTGTTCCTGACAGACATGGGTCATTATGTTAGAGTGAAAACAGTAGAAAGCTTCAGAAGCAAAGATACCAGAAGCAAAAGTATAAAGGTTTGCATCATATGGGTTGGGATTTACAAATCCTAGGGTTGGGGAAAAGGTGAAGGTCAAATAAGGGAATTAAGGGGATGCCTTGACCCCTTTGGACTCTTTGCAGAATGGCCCCTGAGAAAATGGCTAAGAAAGGGTTCAACAGGAATGCCAAATTTCTGCTGAATAGGTTAAAAGAGTGAAGAAGCCTCTTCGGCAGCCATCAATGCGCAGAAGGCCTGCAGAACATTTCTGCTGAATAGGGCCCTAAATAAAGACAAAAGACACAAAGGAATCTGATTGTAACTTGAGGAGAGCTTTCAACTGCATGTCCTAATCTCTAAGTTACTTTTAATGTCAAAGTAGTTTGACATTGCTCTGGACGCTGAAGTGGAATTACTTTACCTGATTTCTGTATAAATATAACAGTAAGCCTTCTGAAATTGTTTTTCCATATATGCAATCCAGTGCCTTATGTAAAGCACCATCCTTAATAGAAAAACTTAAAGTTGTATATGAGAATGTTGTCTATGCAAACATAGCAAACAGTATAGACAACCTGGTTGTCTATCCAAGTTTAAGATTTTTTTAAAAAAAATCTCATGTATATTATCTGGATTTTACCTTAACTTGGAAGAATTTTATGTTATACAAAAAAAAAAAGAGAAAATCTTTGAGGAACAGATTTTACTTGCATTGCACATCAACTTTGACATAAGCCCTTGGATTCCAATATGTCTTAATAGGATTTACAATAAGCAAGTGGATTCTTTTCTCCAGTGCTAGTGAAATCTTGCCAAGAAAACTGCAGGATCCAGGCAACCTCCAGGAGTCAACACTGACTCAAAGTCACCCAAAAAGAAAAGAGAAAAAGAAAAAGAAAGAAGTGTCATTTTAAAGAAAAAACACCCTCCTGTAAAAGCTCATTTGTCTTACCTCTGCAAGCAGATGCCAGTGTGCAATGGGTTTTCGAGGATATGAGAGCATTTCATTCCAATGGTCTCGCCCAAGACTTTCTGCTTCGTTGCCTACTTGACAGACTCCAATTACTTCATTGTGACCTACACTGTGAAAATGTTCAATAATATTTATTTCTTAAAATTATGCATTCAGGAACTATGCAGTTCAAATGATCTCGTAGCTGAAACAGATGAGCTCTGAAATATATCTTTGCAGTTCATGGTAATGTGATCGTAGTAGGGAAACAGCATGAATATATATCTTTTTCCTCTCCTGCAACAGCCCCAAAGAAAATAAGTTCTCAGAAGTGAGCATCTGTTTTACAAGTAAGCCTGTCAATGACACCAGGAGAAGATTTTCTCTCTAACAGGAGAGATTTCCTTTTTTGCCTGTTTCTATTAATGTTCACTTTGAAATTAATGTTCAGTTATAAAAACCCACACTTTAGACATAAACATGCATGTGCATTTTGCAGCCCAGCAGTTTAGTACTTACAAATAAACCATGTGTTTCTAGACTTACACTGACCAATTGGTATCAGTCATCTAGCTGATTTGAAAAGCTAATCAGGAAAAGACCTGATTAATATTTGGAAAAATGTTTATGACAAACTGAGAAGTTAAGAGAAAGCAAAGAAGAAAGCAATCACAAACTATTTAAGTTTTGTTGCCAAGAAAAATGCATGGGATGTGTCCATGAATGAATTTCTCAGGAGCCAGTCTTGACTGAGGGAGTCTTCTTTTACTTTGCTTAGATTTAATTATGCCTTCAGCCAAGAATTAGTTCCATTGATTTTCTGGCAATTTATGATTTCACCTCTGTCTAGGCTCATAGTAACAATGTAGAACTCCCAAATCTGCTTGGGATAAGTTAACACAGAAAGGAAAGAGGGGTGTTCAAAAGCCCTGCGAAGTTGTTTGCCTGTACATAAGTAAAACGGGCAGGGGAATTGGCAGGTAAGTACCAGTCCAATCATCCATATGCCACAAGCCATCTTCTAGACCTTCTGTATGAAGATCGGAAAAAATTATGCTAACATAACTGCTTTTCTTGCTGAATATCCAAAGGTCTAAAAGAAAGCAGTGTGTGGATATACATGGGAATGAAGCTTAACTGTATTGCTGTGCAGATAATATCTACAGAAGATTTTAATCTCAAGCTTTCCCACATTCTAAAAAAGCGAATGGCTCCTCAGTAATATCTCACCATTGATAATCCATAAAAGTCACAGATAAATTTGTGATTAATTAATTTGTCAGTGGTTTCTGGAGAGATATCAAAGGCCATGTCTTCTTTGTAAAGTGGATTATTACCCTCAAAATTTTGGGAGACTCCTTCTACCGTTTCAAGCCTCAGGAACAATTTTATCTCCCCTTTTCTCAACTAGATGGGGAAATTAACAGCAACCAATCCTGATACTAAAGCTATTTTTTTTTCTATTTAAAAAATTAAATCTTAGGGATCTAGCTTTATTCAGATGTAAATTCAAACCTCTGATAAATGGAAATATCCAAGGTCCCACTTCTCAGTGATCTAGTGCTCAAATTCTTTTAAGAGTTCCAATATAGCATATTGGAGAAAACTTAGCTTCTTCTTTACTGAGGCATCAGGAACTACTTTTACTGGATCAGAGTATGTACAAGGAACTTTTAAAAAGAAATTTTTCCAGTGGACAAGGGCCACAGTGAGTATGGTAGTGACATGACAACATAGAAATGCAAAAAAAGGGTGGGAGGTAGTGGTACAAGGGAGGGGAGGTTAGAGCTCATATTTTGATTACAGTATTTGTTTTGTTTTTCAGTTTGTTGTGAGGTCCCCAAGTCCCCCCATACAAGCAAGGGCATCTGCAGAAGGGGTCAACAACATCAAAATGGCAGCCATGATCAGGCAACTGAAACCCCACCCCTTTTTAATATGCAACATATATATTGAATGTACATTAAAAGAGCAGGGTTTTGACTGTCCAAGCATGCCTGCCATTTTGATGTCTGTAAACAAGACTTAACTTACACATTAATTTTGTTTTCAACAAAAAAACAGTTTCAGCAGGAGATTGTAACACCACCTTTGTTGCTAAACATTTGTGTCATAATCCCTAGAGAATCTGAAGTTTGTACAAGAGGACCTGGGAATATGTGCAAATTGGAGAAAGCATGGCTTGACCACCCTAATTTAGAGTATTCACTCATCATTCTTCATAGCTGTCCAGATATCTCACCGGTCATAATCCATAACAGCTATAGACAAGTGAATTTGATCAATGTTTTCTGGAGGGACATCAAAGACTATGGCTTCATTGTAAACAGGATTAAGGGTGTTCCGCTTGATAGAAGTCTTCCTTTTCTTCAATCGTCTCCCTTCACACATTAGTGACACCTTCACATACGGATCTGTGTAACAGATATAACAACCACAGTATTTTATTTTGCTTTATTTTAAAGTATGATCAGTATATCCATTCAGCTTTGCTCATCTTCCCTCTCTTTATAATCTTCTCACTGTACTATAAACAAAAGTCATGATTTAATTCATGACCTTGCACATTCTTTTAGTATTTATTTCTTGGGGTAAAATTTATAGTTTAATAGCATTTTTACATTAAACTGAGGACAAACCTGCATCCTTAAATCACAATTTCTGACAATATTTCTGACAATATAATACAGGAAAAGGAATTTGCAGTGAGGTCTGCTGTGAACAAACATCCAGCAAAGATATGCCAGAATTCAAAATGCTTGGTTGTTCTGTTTTTAGCTATGTATTTTTAGTAGGTGGCCTGGGCTATCTATCTCACTTTCAGAAGTACCGTAATCCAGGAGGATAATTGACTTTTTCTGCTCTCCCTTGTCATCATGCTGCCTGGTGATAGTACTACACAGCTTGGACCATCCTTCTGTTCACGAGATCCAAATGAATAGTGACTCTGCTATAGAATTGGTTGGATCTCCAGCCTTATTGTGCTTACATATATACACAGTCCAGCCCCTCTTTAGCAGAACTATTACAAAATGTCTAAACTAAATTCCTGCTCTCTTAATAGAAGGGTTAACCCATTCCAAACACATGAACAGTCTATGCAGATAGTTCTGTATATTCAGTAGCATTATCACCAGAAATCATTTAGGGCTCCTGCTACTATTAGGGCAAGATTCATTTTTTAATATCTTTCCCCCAAAATAATTGCAATTTAGTAACAAAGGCAAATGTGATACACCTAATCAAATTTGGGGATAGGATCAGGGAGACTACCGTTTCCTGTTTGGATGTCTTTAGTCAATAACTATTTTATCAGTCTAACCTATCACAGAGGAGGACTCAAAGAATAGTAACACAAGACAGAAATGCAGCAGATCCAGGTGGTGTGATGGTCAACATGTAGGAAGTGGCATTTTTCAGACCCATTTAGTTTTCAAGGACTAAAGATAAGCTGCAGTTGTTTTGTGTCCCAATTGAAGAAAAACTGAATCTACCTCATTTTATTTATTAGACTTTATATACAACTAACTACCAAGATCTCTCAGCAATTTAAGATTGAGTGGGATACAAATTTATCCCCCCCCCCACAAATGGCAATAATTTTTTGTTATTTATTTATTTATTTAATTTATATAGCTGCCCATCTCACAAACATGACTCTAGGCAGCTTACAATAAAATAGATAAAACAGATAAAATACATAATAAGAAAAAGACAATATATTCCTGACTGATTGTGTATTTGTATTTACAGAAAGTAAATGGTAGTTGGCTATATTTGCAGAGAAATATGGAAGTCATTGCCATAAAAAGGCAAAGTTGCAAGCATCTACAAGAATGCTCCAAGCAATATTTCTCTTCAGTTTCCATCGCTGCAATACAGAAAGTATGAATAAAAAGTGGATAAAAGATATGCATATTATTTTCTGTCATAAATTGCTAGGCTTATAGTTCTCAAATATATGAAACAGATCAGTAAAAAGCCAAGATGGTCATTTAGCTCACTGAACTTTTCCTTGCGCAATATGATTTTCTCCTCTCCACCTATGCGCCTACCCTCTTCTACCCTGGTGTCTTTTTTTTAATAGTAATTTTATTAAAAATTACAATTAAAAAGATAAAAACTAATACAAACTAAAAAGAAAAGAAAAAAAAGAAAAAATAGAAAGTGCAGAAAAGAAAAAATAGAAAAAGAAAAAATAAGAACATAGTAAAAGAAAAAGAAAAGAAATATATAAAGAAATGACTTCCCCTTCATCACAAGTATAAACAATTTTAGTAACATCACCTTCTCTTAAAATACAACAAATAATCTCTTCTTCTTCATAAGAAAAGAAAAAATAGAAAAAGAAAAAATAAGAACATAGTAAAAGAAAAAGAAAAGAAATATATAAAGAAATGACTTCCCCTTCATCACAAGTATAAACAATTTTAGTAACATCACCTTCTCTTAAAATACAACAAATAATCTCTTCTTCTTCATATCCCATCTCTTTTCTGTAAACAAATTCTTAAAGCCTCACCATTTCAGTCCTGATGTCAGCAAAAGTCTATAAAGGATTACGAGAGATAACAACATATCCATTTTAACCTTGATCAGATAAACCAACTTTATATTCCTTCCTTTTACTTGATCGTTACTTCCTTCAAATAATGTCTTAGAACTTGATTTCTTTTCATTTTTTCTTTGTCCCTTCTCACAAA